TTTTTTAGCTTGCATGTATGGCATGGGGTCCTTTCGACACTGCATGCACACTCTAGTTTTTCGCTTTACAACACCACCTTCTCCTGGCAATCGATCTGAAAGGTCTTCAGGCCAATGCTCTGAAAATCTATTCTCTAAGGGGACAACAGCACCTCCTCCATCACTGAAACGGCCTCTAGGTCGTGGCAGTTCAGTTACTTCTTTGTACCGTGCCATAATTCCCTCTACAACATTGAGGATGAATTCAATTTGGGTCATTTTGTCATTGGTGAGCTGTTTTCTCAAGAGGAATGCATTCAGCATTCCAACATCTGTCAAATGGAACAGCAGCTTGGACCACTTGATACTTCTGCGATCAGCGCCATAGTCAGAGACCATTTGATCTCCTCTATCAACACCACCCATATTATAGTTATAATCAAGTACTATGGATGGTTTCATAACAGTAACTTCACGAACATTTTGACCATTACGTATTCGCTTTCTTTTTCATGAGTCTGTCATTATTGCATTATGCATAATTGATGTCGTAGTGCAAGGTTTCTTTCTCATGCTCTCTCTCCATTTCAGAATAATGAGTGGGCCTTTTTTTCTGTACACCATTTCCGCTGCCTGAAGCTGAGCCTCTTTTACAGTGAGAGGGACCCCACGTCGACGTAGGCCTTGCGTTCCTATCGTGTAGATCTGTTTTTCATTAAAAGTGTGTTGTGGATTTTCTGACTTTGAAAAGCCTGTCGTGGCCATCCCGACCTCTTGCAATCTGATCAACATTGTTACAAATGTGAAAGAATTTCAGAATCAATATGTATCTGTTACGAGGCATGTACTCGGAGAATAATGAGCATTTTAAAACTTTTCGTGTTGACCAGTACTGCTAAATTTCTGGAAGCTTTACAATCCCCATCATTAGGTGAAGTGCTAGAAACATTCTCATTTCATTGGGATTGGTGAGTTTCCAATCCCTCACACGTGATTTTTCCTTCAAAACATTACTATTGCTGATACCATCTGCATAGCGATTCGTCTCATCAACTAACACCTGGATAAAATCATTATCTACAATGGCATTGAAAATGTCCATTGGTTCTGTGCTACAGCCAGCTGGCAGATTTACCATCTCAGCACCAGTAAACTGCTGCCTAACAACATGAACATTGTCTTCAATTCAGCCATCATTGCCTGCAACATCCACTCTATTGTGTTGATGTCCTCTTCCTCTTC